ATATGTTTGTTAGTAATTTGTCAAACTTAGTATCCGCATGAGGTGGTCTATATATGCATCCCACAAGTAAATAATTTTGGGATCCACAGTTTACAGTAACCCAAGTGGAGTCGTCTATAGCATCAAGGGATTTATCCTCAAATTTGCACGCTTGAATGTCTGAACGGACATAGATAATTGTACCGCCTCCTATTCCATAACATCTATCGGTTCTAAAGAAAACGTAGTTATCTACATTCAAGGAATGATCGGATATAGATGAATTACACCACGTTTCCGTAATAAGTACAATGGTTGGATTAACAAGGAATAAAAGAGTTTTAAGATGAATAATTTTATTAGACAGAGAGCGGGCATTGAACGAAAGAATAAGAAACTCAGAGTCATCATAGTGAAGCAGGTTAGAGTATAAATCGCAATTGGTAGTTCCATGAATACTCATAGGATTAGCTAAGGTAAGAGTCGTGTTGCGAGGGGAAATAGATTCAACCACTTTGTCATCATGTGAAATATGTTTACCGTTGCCGGCAGGAAAGCCGGCGGAATTACAAAAAAATTCTTTTCATTGCTATTGGATATAACATCTGATAAGGGCATACTGTACATATTGGGAGCCGGACCAAGAAGGCTATCAGGTCTATGGTTGTGACCAAGTGGCCAATTACAATTCAGATAACTATTTATACCTGACGTATGGGTAACGTGTTTAAGACGTTTATTTCCAAGGTTTGTGGTTGATTTCGGCTTCTTCATAAGTTGGAGAGGATTGTGTACTGTTAAACATACTTGCGATGGTTTGCGAGGTTCGAATATATCAACGTTAAGTGCGTGGTCAGTTATATGAATGTTATGATTAGTTTTCCTGTTATCCGTTGCACAGTTACTGTAACTGGGTGTTGCACTAACAGGGGTTTGGATTGTGTTATCCCATTCTTCATCAGCACAACTACTTCGGGTTGAATCTAAGTCAACATTCTTAAGAGGATGGACACCACCTACATCGGGATTACTTTCTTCTGGGTTTTGAACTTTATGAGATTCAGAAGAGTTTTTTGGTGGCGGCAAAGTTGTTAAGCTAGACGTCCTCTTAGAATCGGACTTAACGTTACAACCATTAGGATTATGATGCATTTGAGAGTTTGAAGCTGATGGTCTGTAGTTATCTCTTCCTGCTTTTCGCTGGCATGGTGTTTTATCCGGAAGAGTCTTAATATCCTTGAAAATCTGTTTTTGTCTCAATGAATTGGAGGAATTTAAAAATTCACTGGCGTCTACAGATGAGTTGAATTTGAACAAGATCGGTGAGTGCATACCAGGATGACTTCTTTTTAATCTTGTGCATACACATGGTACGTGTGTCATATTGCTGGCTCTAAGCAGACTAGATTTGATATTTTTAAGGGCATGTGTATCCGGTATATTAAACACAATTGCATTGCTAGATCGTCTTATTCTTTCAAATACCTCTGATGCAACACGATCTAGGAAAATATTTATGTCATTCATTTGATCTGGAGTCTCTGTGAGGTTGGGGTTGATGAGATATTTAAGCGGATTGAGAATGTTCATGTCTACTTGCAACTTCTTTATAGCATCCATATAGTTGCAGTTGCGATTATCATCACTGTTTACCATCAGAGTTTTCAACATGTCTGGAATGGAGACAACTGGTAAAAGCCTGTCTGCTTCCGGATGAACGGAGTGGCACGTCTCGTTGAAACTGTTGGAAATCGTATCGGTAGAGGTGTTAAATTGTGTCGTTTTCCTACGTTTGGCTGAACGCCTAGGAGCAGGGGTCTTCATTTTCTTTTGTGACATGATAAAGTGACGTATAGCAAGTGGTTTGAACAGAATGTTGGAAATAGGGGTGAAAAAATCAATTCCGAGGGCTCAAGTTAGTCTAAAAATCAAAATCTATGTTTTAACCAAGAGTGAATGTATCGTGAGGATTAGTGGTGTTAAAAACAAAAGATGACAATGGCAGGAAGATAGTAGTGGAGATGAAGTATTTATGTCAGTATCTGTGTGGAGGCAAAATAGAATATAAAGGAGCAAGTTGTATAAATTTTAACATATATGACACGAAAGATAGCCTTATATAGTAAAGTAATTTAGAAATGTCGATAATTAGTATCAAACAATCAAAAAAAGTACGGTATGTGATACATATATAAACTGAAAGTCCGTATTAATAAAAATTGGGAGGTGCAGAGATAAGTAGTTTAGAAGATTATTACCGTCTAAAGTTATTATGTTGCTTCTTGAACAAATATATGAAACAGCTTTTTGGAAAAAAACACTGTCAAAAAAACAAACTATGACAGACTCACCGAATTGGACAGGTAATTTCGGAAATGAAATAATTTATAGTATCCAAATACGATTTAAATGATAGTTAATAAAATAGTGAATACAGTCCTTTAACATACACGGTTATATATATTTCTTGATATTAGGTAGAGGTTTGAAAGTTCATCACTTATAATTTTTTCCATAGTCCTAGAGATAACTGGAGCAATATTTATCGGCCGACAATTGTTCATGTCAGTCTTATCTCCAAATTTTTAACGTGGTATGATGTATGCGGTTTTCCGACAGTAAGGGTAAGAAATAGTTTCCATAGAGAGAGTAAACAGCTTTAGAAGAAGTGGAATATCTGGACCACCATATTTGTAGAGGAAGGATGAAATCCCGTCAGCTTCATGACCTCTTGAAAGCTTAAGGGCATTTGCAACTTTATTAATTTTCATGCATGTGAAGGAGATAGACTTTATTGAGTTGCTAGTCACGCACATAACTCTTGAAGCAGAGCCACTTATGATTTCTACACCATTCGCAGAAATACCATTGAAAAGATCTGCTATAGCTTTGGAGTCGTATATAAAAGTGCTATTATGCTGGATGCATGGTATATCAACAGTTTGCGTTGCCTTGGCGCGTTTATTGAAAAGAAGAGTTAAGTTTTTTACTTTTGAGTTAGTAATAAGTGCTAGTAGCTCCTCAATAATGGCTTTTAACCTGTGTTTCTTTTCAAGTTGATGAATATTATTTTTATTTGTGCAACTGGTGTGAAGTCGTTTGACTTAAAATAACGATTTTGTAGGCGTCTTAGTTTATTACGATATTTAGCTGGTATATACAATTCATAAGGTTTAATAAAGCTGTACGTTTTAAGAGGTACACAGGAATCTGAACAAGAGTTAACGATCAGATAGAATTCATCGATAGCATCCATGAGACTATCACATGAAAAAAGTTATCCCAATCTGAAAGTTCAATCAGTGAATGCAGTAGGTCCCAGTCAGCATGCTTATGGTTTCCATATTGACAGGTTTTTTGAATGGGTCGATTATAAGAGGGATAGATAGGGAGAGCACAAACTGCTATTTTATGATCACTGCTTTCAAATTCATCGTATACTTTTACAGATAGTGGGATGACATCTCCACTAAATATTAGATCAAGTACACTATTGCCTCTAGTTGAGGCACGAACCCACTGTGACCAGCAGTGCATGTTAATGGTTGCCGAGAACTCATTATTACATGACTGACAACTACCGGTACTCCAGTAAATCCCAGGATAATTGAAATCTCTAGTGATAACCTTAGCATTAAAGTTTAGAGCAGATGCATGTATGAATGCATTGATAACAAGATCATTCCCATTATTCGAACTATTAGGAGCTCTGGATATACATCCAAGGAGTAGACTATGATTCAGTGTGGTGAGTGATATCCAGACTGATTGTGGTAAACTATTCAGGACACCATCTTCAACCTTATTAGTTGTTAGGGTATCCAAAGCATATATAATAAAACCACCTAATCGTTTAGTTTCTCTGTTACAGCGATAGAGTCGATAGTTATGGATATTCAATTCCGAATCAGACACTGCTTGAGAGCACCATGTTTCAGCGATAAGTATGAAAGAAGGCTTGGTTAGAAAAGCTAATGTTCTCATGGATGAAATTTTGTTCAGAAGTGAATGTGCAGTGATAAGTAATAAGTTTAAAAAGGGAGTATGGAGTGTAAAAAACCGAGAGCTTCCCTATCGATTTTCTGTATTTTAGATTTGCATAGACTGTAGTTTGTTATATTTGACTGGTCATATGAGCTATCGCTTGAACAAACTGTATTTCTAGTGAGACCAGGGATTTCTGAAGGTCATTTAGTAATTATTTTGATAGAATGGATTGATTTGTTGAACTTGACTAGGCGGACAGTTAAGACAGGCACCTTCTAGTTGGGGTTGGGTTGATGGTGAGTAACCTAATAGTCCATCTTGCCCAAACGGAAAGTGTCGAGAAAAGTTATGTCTTAAAGGTTTATTATTTAGAACGTTTGAGAGTAACCGTGGGGCACGTTGGTTCACTGCGGTCTGTCTAATATTAGGCCTGCTTACACCGTGATTGTAGTGGCCATCTTGTGAGACATTTGAATCAAGTGTGCCCTTATAAATTCCCCTACAATGCGTAGGTTAAAGCATGGTGTCGGGAAGTATGTTCTTATTTTTATTTGGTAGGGCCGTCGTAATATTTTTGTTATTGGGTCTAGAACCAGAAGGTTCTGTACATACGTTCTTCTTAAGTGGCATAGACATTTTAATCTTGACAGTGTTTTAAGAGCTGTCGCATTAGAACTAGGTATTTGCTTATGGGCTTCTAATGGTAAACTGGAAAATATCGGATTAGTGTCGTCGTTAGATCTACATTGGTTATTAGATGTCACTACAAGTATAGTAGGCAAATTAGCACTCTTCGTTGGCAAATCAGAGTACTCGATAACACGAGATAGGGTAGCTGCATCAGTGGATCCAACAGCTGATGGATCGTGATTTGTTATGATCTCAACACCTTTATTTTCGTTCAACGTACGTTTTTGAGTAAGTCTTTGGTTGGTGGTCTTATCTGGGACTAAAAGACCGTTTCTAAAGTTCGTGAGCGCACAGATTAGCCGTTCGGATTCTTTGAACTGTTCAGCTAATATATGAGAATCGAATCAGGACAACACCTGGTACGAGTATTTCTGGTGCTTTTTATTAAGTCGAATGCATTGGTATGGACTGTCTTGAAGGTTAAATGCTTTTAATATCGAGTTCCTTACAGTTTTAATAGGGATTTTGTCAGGTATATTATAGACAATCACGTTATTACGAGAGATTATCCGCTTGGTAACTTCACTAGCAATAAAATCGATAACAGATTCTGTTTTTATAATGTCACCAAGTTCCGGAGGGACGATATCATTTGACAAAAGCAGTTTAAGGGGTGATAGTGTCTTTATTTCTTGTTTCAAATGATCATGCTTTGATAAAGAGCTAGCAAGTGACTTAACTTCAAAAAGCATGTCGTTTAGTTGCTTTAAGATAGTGTTTAATTCATTCTTGATATTATCGATACTTTTTGATCTTGGGGTGGAACTTATTATTAAATTAGAGACGGAGTCATCCAGCAGCAGGTGTGGTGTAAGACCACTCCCAACATTATCAGATTCAAAAGGAGTAGCAGAGCATATGATATAGGTAATAACAGAATTGTTATCATTTGAAGAATTAGGGCTTTTCCGAGCTCGTTTTTTGACGGTCGGTCCATTTCGCTTTAAGTATTAATTCTGATGTTACAAACTAGGATTCAAACAATATATCTTAAAAACCGAGTTATCGTAACGCAAACTTCGAAAGTACCGCACGCTTGTTTTCTCTGATCGGTTTCGTTTCTCTTATTGTTTATCTGTAGTGGCATGAAAATGAAATATATGTACTCGAAAACCATTCTCGTATTTGGAATCTTTTACTTCAGTATTTACTAACGTGAATTAAGTCAATGATTAGATATGGGGATAGGCGCGATGTATATCTCGTTGACATTATCATACGATAAGGTTGGAGTCAATCATAGGAAACAATAACTTGAAGCACTTCAAAAATGCACTCAAGTACCTTTAAAAAGCCGAATCCTGAATGTTTGGAATAATCAAGCTTACCATCACTTTGATTGCTTGGCTTCTCAAATTACGAATGACGTGAGAGGAAGCCTCCATGGAGTAAAAACATAGATGATCACTTAAATTTCATGACGATACCACTATAGTAAGTGCATTGCGAAGTAAACTACTCGGGTGACTGACCATCTCTAGTATTTAGCCATAAACTAATACATGAAAATTTGTACCGAAAAATATTCATTTAACTTGAATAAGGCACATTTCAATAACTAACCATTTAAGAAGAAACAGATCAATCCCATGTAAGTGGAATAAATGACAGATAGTCATATATGCATAAAGCTCATCAGCTAAGCCAGCAATATCTCAGAAAAGGTTAAGTATGAAAATACCACAGGTACTCGGGGTTTAACGATGTCTTTGCACGCAATACCTTCATCATCGAAGTATACTGGCCCAGTCACATCAGAAGTCATAATTAAAGGGGTTCGAAGATATATTTGGGAAGCTCTCGATCGTCTGGTCTAAACTGGCTAGCAGTTGAAAGAGATGCGTAACACGGCCTATCCACTACTGATCTGGTACGGATGCGTGACCGAGCGCCTTCAGCTAGACCGTATCCAACAAAACTAACGAGGTCAGCAGCAATATTGAAGATATATAGAATTACGTATTTTGGGTATCCACATACTGCTAAAAGTGTTTCCAGGATTTAATTAAATACAACAGTGCTTTTGTTATCCAAAACTTTGGAAAATAACCGAAATAAAGTTGAAGTGGAAGTTAACAACGTACTGAACGATGTACATTATTAATAGAACAAACAGAATCACCACATAGTAGGTATCTTTGACGTGATTTTTGAGCAGTATCTTGTTAGCAGCTTTTGGCTGTTATGCGTTTTGTTCATTTAAAATATGACCATTGGTTTTTACGATCAAGAGTAAAAGAAAAAACGAAGATCGACTGCGTTTTGGTTATGGTATGTCAGGTTCCACAAAATGTTACTGGTTTGATTATTGGCTGTAAAAAAGCGACATAGTGATAAGTAATTTCGATAAGTTTACCAGATTGGCTGGTAGACGCCCATGGGAACTAAGTATGTACTCTCATGTTAATCCTTTCCAAGTATTCGCACAACGGAGTAGCTTAAACATAACACGTGTAACTAAGCGTAGGATTTATATCTAAGGGTTCACTCATCGTCGTCCGTAACGGACACAGTTAATTATCCCACAAAGTTGATGACACTGACGTCATAACTATAATAGAGTGAGGTTTCATTCGTATGACAGTCGAAAGCTTGTCATGAATGGACAGGACTGTATATCGTGACAAATACTGGAGTTATATAGTAAGGATAATTACAAATGCTCTTTACAGTGCATGGTTATCTATCACGGTTAGTCAATATCTTTCGTAGTAATCTAATATTTGGTGTATTATCAATTTGGATATTTTTTGTCACGTGACGGAAATCCATTACGAATACAGTTAGTGTTTATGCCATACATCCTCTGGTGGATATAGATTATCCAGTATTTGGTTCAGTGGAATAAATTCTTAGGATGATCAACCATTTAAGAAAATCCCCATCCTAGATAAACATGTGGCAAAGTCAGTGTCAAAGAGTTTTAAGATAAATTTTGTTCAAAGATATAGAGTATCAAAGAAGTGAAAAACTAACCACAGTGAGATCACTAATAAACTTTCACTGAAATGTTTGTTTACTACAGCACGGCACCAAATATTAATCCATAGTGGAAAATGTATTCAGATATGAAAGTCACATTACGCTTTTCCTACGATTTACGTCAACTTAAGATACCAATAAAAAAATATTTGCTTCCGCTAAAGTGATTCGTTGTATACTTATGAATATACAAAATGATTCCAAATAAGAACAGAACAGCTGTCCCAGGCTCTTTGGTTGTTAACCAGTCAGTCACTGAAAAAATTCACCTATAAACTAAATTATCTAGGACAACAAAATTAGAGAAAATCATTCGACACCTGTAAGCAATTGTGACAAAGTAAATCAAATCTTGGGCCAGATTCACTAATTCGATTGTTTTAGATATGTTCACTAGCATTTATTTGTCCAAAAATGATTTTTTATTTATTTGGTCATAGTTAGCATATAAAATACTAAAAAGATGCTTTATTTCTAGCGACTCATTTAGAACTACAATCAGTCGAAAATAACGCAGAACCTTGATATATAATGACTTGAAAAAAGATATATAAATAAATGAGGGTTTTAAATACCTAACAATTATACTTTCTTATGACATTTTAATCGACAGCAAGTTATAATTTAAAAATAACTACAGACTAATGAAGTTGTCGAAAATACTCAGATAAATTAATAAACATTTTAGCTGTAAAAGTACCTAACCTTTAATGAATTAACTAAAGTACACGACAATACAGAACGTACCTATTAGAGGAATATTTCCAATAGAATTTGTGAGAAACAAGCAAAAGATATTAAAACATTTTATTTGATGGAAAAGTAATTATCATTTGTTAACGTTTATTAAACGATCTGGAAATTAAATAATGATATTGGATGGCAAATAATATACTGAATAACTTTATTTATTTGTATTTACTATGTATTAACTAGTGTATGGTGCAGTCAATGTTGTCGTACGACGCCACAAACCAGGGTTATACGGATTATCATAGATACCTCTAGGTACTGAATTTCTGCGAAGTTTTTCTTTTAATGCTTCATCTGGATGTTGTGGACCGCGTTTTCTAGGTTGAAACGATTCCGGTCGTTTCATATCATTTGTAAATACACGACAGATGAATATACAGTCATGGCAATAACCACCATATCCATGATAGCTCCTTTTATTGTCTTTTTTCATTTTTCGACAGACCAAAATATATCCAAAACTAATTTCATTTAACAAAAATAAGCTGATAAAATGAAAATAAATTTTTTGTTTAACATCACTTATACAGACAAGGTCAAGTTAAAACTAAAAAACTAAAACAAATAACCAAATCTTTCAATTTCCAGTACATTAAATATTTTGCACTTCCTCATGACAACATCAATGAACTATTGATTAGAAGTGCACATTACATTCACTTACCGAAAATTATATTCCTATCAGAATTATATATATGAAGGAATAGTTTTTTAGTTAGGCGCTCATCATCATGCTAGACTAACATCGTCATTTTATAATTGTATACTAAATTATTACCGATCAAATGATTGGGTGTCAATAATATTAATTTTTTAATTTTTGATTTAACAAAAATATATCAGAATTTGAAATTACGGTTGGTTTTCAAGTTTTAGTGCATATTATATTGTATAAACTAAGTAATTTGAAACATGATGTTAGCAAAATTTGTAATATTTTGTTAAAGATAAGAAGTGTCCGTTTAATTAGCCAAATAAATTAATCAGTTACATACAATGTAACTTGGGAATTTAAAACAAGTTGCATAAGGTTAAGCTAAGAGTAATAAGAAAAAACGTGGAATAAGTCATTCAAACAGTTTATAGCACTGATTACGTAAGTTTACAAGTCAAAATTGGAATATGTAATGGCAGTTTATGGAAGCAACAAACGATTTACTAGTTTATCAGCAGCGGTTAGGAAATAATAAAACAAAATCCTCAGTAGTGTATTTCAGATTGATGAGCAGAAACTTAGTGTAGAGGCGTACAGTTATGGCAATGATTTTCAAACTAAATAGGGGTACAGTAACATTACTTTTGGTTCATGAGTTTAATGATCATATATTGTTGAAGTATCGTTATGTCTACTAATTGGTTGACTTGATCAGACAAAAACCAATGTATTAATATTAGCATAAGAAGAATTACATTTGTCCAGTTAGGCATATGATTCGTTTATTCAGTCTTCTAGCGGTAATTCTAACTAAATGCAATTAGTCAAATAAATACATCAGTGCCATTTCCATGACCATTCACTGAGTACGATTCATTATCATTGATTTTAAATTTGGAGGTCGCAGATATCATTTGTTCTTACCTCGCTTTTTTTCAGAAATTGTGGCTTATTCCAACTTGAATTCCTTTAAAAGCAAATAACTAGAAGTATGGCAATAATGATAAAAAATCAAATAGTCAGATGACTAACGAGTTTGATTAAAAACTTATGGGGGAATTCCATTCAATATATGCAAGTGTGATTGGTCTTACACTTTATGTAAAGTAACTGCCGACGATGTCGTTCACAGCATCAATCAAAACTTTGTGAATGAACCACTTAACTCAGAAGACACAATATAATACAAGACATAAGTCAAAAATTCAGACCAAAACTTTCAAAGTGGTAAGTAACCACGATCTAACCTTATAACCAACATATTAAAAAGATATACCATTAAAAAAGACGTTAAGTCAAAAC